ATGGCGATACACCAGCCACAAACCGTTACACGCGAACAGCATCCACCAGCACCCCAAACATGCCCCCTAGCACCCGGTACAACCAAAGCAGCATCCACCCACGCCTCAAACTGCATGCCCCTTAGCACCCGGCCGTCAAGCTCGCAAAACAGCATCCACCAGCACCCAAACTGCATGCCCCCTACAACCGGCCGTCAAGCTCGCAAAACAGCATCCACCAGCACCCCAAACTGTATGCCCCCTACCCTAGCACCCGGCAAGGGCCAAAGCAATGGCTCCCTTCGCAAAACAAATCCAACTCAGCACTCATGGTGAGAAGATGTGTCGGATTCCCGCGTGCACTCAGAGGCACTCGCCAAGACACCTGGAAGCACACGCTCCGTAAAGCGTTCGCACAAGGCTGGCAGCTCGTTCTGCCCCAGCCAACTCAAAGCTGGTCAAGCAACCTAGAACAACCCTCATCAAGTACAACACGCAACCTCGCAGCCATGTTGGCTGCAATTCTTGTCGCAGAATAACTAGTGCTGGTCGGCCCGAAATTCAGCCGGCAACAGTGAAATGATGTCGCGACCATCCTGGACTCCTGGACCTCGCTTCAGGATTCCACATCAAACCCCTCGCAACGTCGAGGCTATATCACCACCCCCTCGCTAGTCGAGGCCGAGCTCATGACTGGCGGTTTGAGCAGGAGCTCATGGGAAGGCATCATGGGCATGCAGGCGGGGCTCTGCCCGCTGCTGCGGGCACGCGGCGGCTTTGGGGCGGCTGGCGACCAGCACCGAGCAAGCAAATGCAGTGGAATCAATGAGTGAGCAAACAGAAAATCTGCGTGGAGACACTGTCTGGAAGTCGCATCGACCTGTGGAAATTGATGCGTCAGCTTTCAACATTGCAGAAAGCGGGCTCCCCGTGCAAACACGTACAAGCAAGAGTCGAGTGTGCGTTTGGAGAAGACACCCTTTTTGTTGTTAAGGAACACCAAGGCTGAAATCAACCTTCTTGGGGGGTCCAATATCCTAGCGCTGAGACAAACTTAGATCGATAATGGGCAATGTGTCAAAACCAGGCGATCGAAATCGTTGGCACTATTCTGTTGTTGAACGGCCCAAGGGTTCCCATGTTTTGACATAATTACATGCCCAGCAACCCCTACCTTCAGGGAAAGGAGGGGAAAGGTTCCCATTTCCATTCTTCCAACTATCATGTGGCCCACAAAAGGATGTGGTTTCCAACACCAAAAAATACATTCTCGGTTCGGAAAGAGGTTGGGTTGGCAAAAACGGGTACCAACTCCGAAGAGGAGGCATTCCCAGACTCGACATTCCGTGCATGGTTGTTTGTTTGTCGGATTCCTCGAGCACGGAGGAGGCGCATTACTAAGGATCTGACAACCTTTGTGTTCACTGATTCAGCGAAGGGGAACCCATGGAGTTCTTTCATGGCCCATTAGATATGGCTCCCCTATGGCTCAGAATCCCTGCATGCTTCAGTTTTTCCATGCCTTGCAAAGGCCGCAGTTTTTTCTGCACGCGTCTGACTCTGCTGTACGTTCATTCTGGGCCAATGGCCATTCGTCGAACCAAGGTCAACGGTCTACTCGCGGCTCCGGAAGCCGAGTCGCCAGCGATGGGCCAGGCCAGGCTGAAAGCCGCGACATGAAGCGACAGTTCTCATGGCCGAAGGCGCCCTGCCGGCTGGCGACTGCCAGACGGCAGCATGGTCCTGGAACTCGGTGGCGGACCTGTCCGCGATTTGCGCGACACATAATATATTTACATAAATATGTGGTTGTTTTAGAAAGGAGACCGGCAATCTTATTGCAACCTTCCGGTGATTCACAAGCAACTTGTGGAGTTTATCCTTTTGTCAAAGCTATGTTTGTCACAATGGCCAGCAAAAAGAAGGCCATTACGGACCACCGGCAGCTGCCATGATTCTGGAAAACATTGGTCCATGGCCAAACCAGAACAGTGTTCAAGGTTGCAGCATGACTGGAGGCCTGGCCAGCATGCAACCTGAATTTGAGCTAGTGCGGCCTGAATTTGAGCTCAGATCTGCGCAAACAAAAGCAGCACGCAGCTGTCCCAAAGCTGGCACAAAGGTTCTACACTGCGGCTGCGCAAAAGATTCGTGCTTTTCATTGGCTCGGGGCTGGGCACATCTTAGAAATATAGTTGACACATGCAAAGGTCCGAAGGCCACTTTCTCAAGCGCAAGCTGACGGCACCACAGGTCTTCTCGCTTGCGCTGCAAGTTGCGCGTCGAACGTGACGCAAGGCCTCAATTGGAGCTGAGGATCTCTGGGCCTCTGACGAAGGTTGCAACAGCTGAGCCTCGGCAAAGTTCGCCGGCGGTGGGGGCAAGCTCCAAAAGCGGGCAGTCCAACTCGTGTTGAAAGGGGCAGCTGTCCTTTGGCTCTACACCGGCAAACATCGCACGGAGCACCAGGCTTTCTGCGACGGGTGCGACATTTCTGCACAGTTCCCGAACAAAACTAATGCACAACCAGCTATGGCGGGCGCCTTCCCCAGATGGGCAGGTTTTCACAAAAAAGACACTCGGATGTTTCAAGGAATGGGGTATCCCCAAAATGGGTAGGTGTTCTACCGGCTTCTCCTTATGCACTCAAGGGAGATCCGCTTTGGAGAATTTATGTTTTGCCGCACATGGCGGCCATTGGTTTTGCATTCTGGCGAGATCTCCCACCACTGCTTGATCGGCACTGCTCGTCAACCTGCTAAGCTGCGTTTGAAGCTGCGCTCTTTGCTAGTCTGCAACATGACTGGAGCTCTGGTCGGCACACAACCTAAGCAGAAGAGGCCCAGCAAACTCAAACGCAGGCAGGCAGCAGAAACATGTAGCAGCCCAAAGGACGGCATGGCAATGCTGCATTTGGGGCTGCACGAAGGAGTCGGGCCGAGTTGAAAGGGTTGAGGCTGCGCGTATCGTAGAAACATGGTGTCTGCCAAAATGTGAAGGCCTGCAAGTCCTTTTTGCTGAATCACCAGCTGCAGGGCAACGTGACAAAAAGATCGAATACCAATGGAGCAACAACACGCGGCCCCGCATGTGTTGAAGCCAAGTGTGCGCAGACTTTGATGCTGGAAGGCTTCAACCGTAGCTGTGGCGTTCTGGCACTCTGCCATAGGCTGCAGCTGAGTCTGGAAAGCAGCATGCGTAGCAGAAAACACGTCGCATGCGCTGCCCGGACGGTTACACGCCAAGATCCGGAGTTGGATGCCTGAAGGGCCTACTAAAAGGCCGGCTACTGCCAATTCGATCAGTCTGCACTGGCTGACTGCAGAAGGGGCGCTAACGTCCGCTTCGCAGAATCAGGTCGACCCTTGATCCGCACTGCACAGTACCCTTTCTGTGCCTTCTTGTCTTCCCCAGTTCCGCAGCAGCTGTTTGAATGTGCCAAGACCACAAGCTGTAGAGCAAAGGTCCAAGAAACAGGGCTCCGTTCTCTCTGTGGGGACGGCACCCAAACTTCCCAACACTGCCTGATCAGGACTGCACTTCAACAACTCAGCTGCGTCTGAAGCTGTGCTCTGTGTTAGGTTGCGGCATGACTGGAGCCCCAGCAAGCACACAACCTGTACTCAAGCTCGTAGACCCCTGCACGCTCACATCTGTGCGAACAGTAGAAGCATGTAACTGCCCCAAAGCTGCCACGGAGCTTCTACATTCAGGCCATCGGTTTCGGGCTGCGCACGTCCCGGGAACAACGTGTCTGCCAAACGCGAGAGTGTGCAAGGCCGCGGACTCCGAGAATGAGCTGCAGAAGAAGCCAGGCTCCGAGAAGGAGACGAGCAACATGTATTCCCGCTTGTGCAGCAAGTCGCACCTCAACCCTGATCAGGGATCCTTACATTATACACCTGAACATTGCCTTGTAAATGGTGGTTTCCCCTTATTTGGGTGGAAAAAGCCATGCTTCAAATGGGCAAAATGTATCTTTTAAGGAGCCCTGCTGATGGAAGGCTGTAAATGTTGCCGAAGCTATCTTGTGCCTTGAGGCCTGCTTTCGCAGCAGCTGTCTCTTGATCGCCGCCACTGCTTGATCGGCATTGCGCTGAAAAGCTTCGGGCAGCAGTGCTGCGGGAAAATTCCAGCATGGCAGAATGACTGAAGCCCCAGCTGCAAATGTGTGCAAACAGTTGAAAGTTGGCGGGCATCTGCGTTCCGGTTACGTAAAATATTCGTGCTTCTTCTTTCATAGGATCGGGGTTGCGCGCATTTTAGAAACATCTTAAGTGCCAAATGTAAAGGCCTGAAGGTCATTTTGCTCAATCACCAGCTGCAGGCACCATACGTGTTCTCGCTTCGGTTGCAACAAGTTGCGCGCCACTCCTGACGCAAAGCCGCTGGCGAGGCAGTCTGGCACTCGGGCATTAGAGGTTGCAACAGCTGAGCCTGGAACGTCGCATGCGTTCAGTGAGGCAAAGGCGGCCCATGAGTTGAGCGCGATAAGCGATCAAAAAGAGAGCCGGCAGGCCACCAAATTGCCAATCACCGGCTGACAGCACAGGGGCCCAAGGTTAGCATTGCAAACAGCAGGGCCCTTGACAGATGTCAATGTTGTGCCTTCGCTTCAGCTGCTTCAATGCAGAAAGCCGCCGGCGGTGGGGGCAAGCTCCAACAGCGGGCAGTCCAACTCGTGTTGAAAGGGGCAGCTGTCCTTTGGCTCTACACCGGCAAACATCGCACGGAGCACCGGGCTTTCTGCGACGGGTGCGACATTTCTGCACAGTTCCCGCACAAAACTAATGCACAACCAGCTATGGCAGGCGCCTTCCCCAGATGGGCAGGTTTTCACAAAAAGACATTCGGATGTTTCAAGGAATGGGGTATCCCCAAAATGGGTAGGTGTTCTACCGGCTTCCCTTTATGAGCTCAAGGGAGATCCGCTTTGGAGAATCCATGTTTTGCCGCAAATGGCGGCCATTGGTTTTGCATTCTGGCGAGATCTCCCACCACTGCTTGATCGGCACTGCTCGTCAACCTGCTAAGCTGCGTTGGAAGCTGCGCTCTGTGCTAGTCTGCAACATGACTGGAGCTCTGGTCGGCACACAACCTAAGCAGAAGAGGCCCAGCAAACTCAAACGCAGGCAGGCAGCAGAAACATGTAGCAGCCCAAAGGACGGCATGGCAATGCTGCATTTGGGGCTGCACGAAGGAGTCGGGCCGAGTTGAAAGGGTTGAGGCTGCACGTATCGTAGAAACATGGTGTCTGCCAAAATGTGAAGGCCTGCAAGTCCTTTTTGCTGAATCACCAGCTGCAGGGCAACGTGACAAAAAGATAGAATACCAATGGAGCAACAACACGCGGACCCGCATGTGTTGAAGCCAAGTGTGCGCAGACTTTGATGCTGGAAGGCTTCAACCGTAGCCGTGGCGTTCTGGCACTCTGCCATAGGCTGCAGCTGAGTCTGGAAAGCAGCATGCGTAGCAGAAAACACGTCGCATGCGCTGCCCGGACGGTTACACGCCAAGATCCGGAGTTGGATGCCTGAAGGGCCTACTAAAAGGCCGGCTACTGCCAATTCGATCAGTCTGCACTGGCTGACTGCAGAAGGGGCGCTAACGTCCGCTTCGCAGAATCAGGTCGACCCTTGATCCGCACTGCACAGTACCCTTTCTGTGCCTTCTTGTCTTCCCCAGCTCCGCAGCAGCTGATTGAATGTGCCAAGACCACAAGCTGTAGAGCAAAGGTCCAAGAAACAGGGCTCCGTTCTCTCTGTGGGGACGGCACCCAAACTTCCCAACACTGCTTGATCAGGACTGCACTTCAACAACTCAGCTGCGCTTGAAGCTGTGCTCTGTGTTAGGTTGCGGCATGACTGGAGCCCCAGCAAGCACACAACCTGTACTCAAGCTCGTAGACCCCTGCACGCTCACATCTGTGCGAACAGTAGAAGCATGTAACTGCCCCAAAGCTGGCCGCGCACGTCCCGGGAACAACGTGTCTGCCAAACGCGAGAGTGTGCAAGCCATTTGTCTCAATTGCTGGCTGCAGACTGTGAGAATGAGACAAACTGGAGAAGCAGCAGGTGTTGGCGCTTGTGTTGCAACAAGTCACGCGTCAACCCTGATCGCTGGAAGCCGGGCTGGCTGGCGTGTTTTCCCGCCACAGCTAGGTCGGCGCTGTGCTTCAAACTTCGGGCAGTGCTGCACCTGGGCCATTTCCAGAATTGCAGCATGACTGACGCCTCAGCTGGCACACAACCTGAATTGAAGCTCGCTTGGCCCAGCACGCAAACATGTGAACAAACAGCTGAAAGTTGATGGGCATCTGCATTGAAACGCAACAAATTCGTGCAACTCATTCGGGCCCGCGGGGGAAACATCTTGTTGCCGAGGTCGCAACAGCTGAGCCCGAAATGCGGCGTGCGGGGCAACTGGCCCAAAGACGAGAGCCAGCAGTTGAGTGGCAGTGAAGCAGGCATGCAGCGCCAAATCGAGGGCTGCCAACGTACAACACATTCACAATTGGTACGCTGTGAGATGCCTGCAGATGTTTTATCATTTTTGAACGACGCTTTTGAAGCCGCGTGCCTTTCAGAGCACCTTGTCACAATCGACTGCGCATGCGCATTTGCAACGGTTGCGCTAAGTTGCCAACTCGGCGCCAATCACAGGACAGCTCAGACCGCCCGCGTAATCTGCGAAGCTAACTGCCGAGGCTTAGGAACTGGAAGGAGTTGCCGGCCATTGCATCCCAGGCGACGCTCATTTGAGCCAGAGCTGGAGCAAGGGCTGGGTAAAGACAGGGGGCACTGCCCTTTCACCATGGCCTTGTCAACATGCGTCGACTCGTGTGCCAAGAGGCAGTCTCGTGTGCCAGGAGCTGGCATGAGAAGAAGAGCACTCGACGCGAATGCCGAGTGATAGCACCGGTAGGTGGGAGTGCAGTTTGTCTAGGCACGGCACCAAGGTGGGGCTGCAGCTACCCCCTGAACATTCCGGCCGAAGCTGGCAAACGGCAGCGCTGCTTGCATCTGGCCGTAAGGCATGAAGGGCCAAAGCAATGGCTCCCTTCGCAAAACAAATCCAACTCAGCACTCATGGTGAGAAGATGCGTCGGACTCTGGCGTGCACTCAGAGGCACTCGCCAAGACACCTGGAAGCACGCGCTCCGGAAAGCGTTCGCACGAGGCCGGCAGCTGGCTCTGCAGGCAATACAAAACTGGCCAAGCAGCCTCTCGTTCTGGTAAGGAGGATCCTCGTCACACGTACCACGCAAACACGCAGTGCAGTCAGCTGGAAATGGATCAGGCAACACGCCTGGAATGTTCCTGTGACCGTCCTAGACCTTGCCAAGCTCAAACCCTTTTGTTTGGTTTCGTGTTGGACCTTTTTCAAGTTTCCAATGTTCTCAGACCACAGCACGTGTCAGGTAAATGGTTGGCTTGGAAGCAGCAGCTGATGCGAAGGCAGCGCATTGGACATGCACATGGCTACGATTCAACACTACATTTGGCTGTGCGATCGGACCCGACGCCCGCTTCTGTTGCAGGCACGCTCAAACTGATGGCTAGCGGGCAACAACAGTGTGGGCGATCAGATGCACCTGCGTAAATGTGTGAACGAAAAGGAACTCAGTCTGGTGACTCTGCCCGGAAGTCGCCTCAATGGAAATGGATATATCAGCTTCCGGCATTGCAGACAGCTGGCTTCCACGATGTCTTCTCATGTAAAACTCGAGCCAGCACATGTCTCTGCCATAAACATGCGAATACGCATACACACTACCCTCCCACCAATTGACATGGAAACTGACAGGGGGTCCCTTAAAAAGGAACATGATCTTCCAGGACCCCCCGTCAGGTTCCAAGTTCATTGGTGGGAGGGTTATAACTGTCTAAAGCCCACACAGGCAATTTCGATGCCATGCTGATGGAAGACCTGCCTTCGTCTGATTGCAGCCCATCCAACTCCTGCGCCAAAGGCGAGCAATGCAGTCATGCGGCTTCCCCAACCTACGCCCGTACCCATTTTTCAATCGTGGAAGTGGACAAGGGGATGGCAACACTCCAATCATCCAAATCCATGATCGTTGCAAGGGTCGTGTTGTCCGAATATCTGACCACCTGTTGCTTGGCCAAAACCCCGTTGAGCAGCGACAGCAGCCAAACCTTCTAAGATCTTTCCGTGACTTGGGTGGGCTGTCCAAAGAACGCGAAGAAGAACCGTCCGAAAGGAAACAAATAAATAAGCTTACCAGCGTCAAGCGAAAAACAAACAAAACATCGTGGGGTCACCGGGTGAAAGCAAACCGCCGGCCTCGGGCCTGAATTCTGCACCAAACTGAGCCCAACTGCGGGGCTGTGTGCACCGGCGATCATGTTTGCAGCAATCTCCGAAGGTCCAAAGAACACCCCGGTGAACTCCTAGATTTGGAGGTATGGCCGTGTAATCCAGAATGATAAAGGAAGAGGAATAGATAGATGGGATTACACGGTAAGGGATAGGAGATGGTGAATGATTTTCTACATCCCTCCCCATTCACCCCTTTATCTCTCTATCCTTGGATTTTTGCGTTTGGTTGGAGAAGCTGATCTGTTCTCGTCGTTCTTCGTCTCTCCTATCCTCATCTCTGAGACAGAGGGAGAGAACAGGGTGAACGAGAGAGGAAGAGATGCCATTCCTTCTCCCAATCACCTTCCCTCACTCTTTGCTTTGCATATGCTTTGCATCCGGGACGGGCTTGGGTGACAGGAAAGAAGCGACTGGAAACCCAAGAAGCCAAAAGGAAAGAAAGGGAAAGGTGGGGAAAGGACATGCCACACACTCAAGCTCTTTCTGTCGCTTTCATATGCTTGTCCTTTCCTTATTTTCTTTTACTTTCATATCCTATCATCTACCGCCTCTCAATCAGAGTTACGAAAGGAGGCAGTGAAATGATAGGGAAAGAGATGGATGATGAGAGGAGAGGCATCCCTTCACTGTTAACTGCCTCTCCCATCCATCTCTCTGTCTCCGGGGTCGGTCAAGAAGTTTTTGGGCTCAACCCCTTTTTGGGACACCCTGCAAACTTGTGGGCTGGTTGATTTTGAAGAGGTCCCCCACCCGAAAGCCGGAAAAAAAAGAAGAAGAACAAGGTCGTGAAACCGGGAGGAAGCACGAGCCTTTTGGGATGGAACCCGAGCTTCCTGGCGCAAGACGCTTTCTTGACTCCAAAACCTCCATCTGTTTTGTTTTTTTTTGCCCCCGGGGCAAGGTCGAGGTGACAAAGCTTCCCCACCTTGGGCATTTTTTGTTTTCCCAACAAATGGGTGGTTCGCCAGGTTTGTGGGTTAAGGGAAACCAAGAGGAACACCGCTTGGCCACTTTGGGCGGTCCAACCGGAAAATAATTTGTGCGTGGTCTCGCTGTGTGCGACTCACATGGGCCCTGATCACAAACACCGATTTCCACTCCGATGCGCCTTTTTCCATGAGCGAGAAGCGCCTGCAGCTTACAAGCGCTTGGCACATTAACAACCCAGACCTCAGGAATTCCACGGGGCAAAGGGGCATCCCCTTTTCTGGGTGGAGTTGGAACCAACCAACGGTTGAACAAGGGAAAACACGACTGGAGGCCTGGGTCGAGCGCCGCCGGATTGGCAGCACCACAAGCTTGAGAGAGTATTACCTCTGCATGGCTTTAGGCCTCCCATTTTCGCCAGAAGGGTTGACTAGCGCGCCCAAACTGAAGCCGGTGCGTTGACCAGGACAAGAAACTCAGAGCATCCTTTGCCCAAACGGGCTCATGTAGCGATGGCGTGGGCTACAGCCTACACGCTCGACGGCTTGGAAGCTGGGCTTGCGGAATTGGTAGCGACCAGAGCCCTGGTAGCCCGACAAGGAGGCTTTGAAGATGAAGATCCTTGGTGTAAGAAGAAGTTTTAAAACAATACTTGGTGCTTGAATTTGGCTGTGGCTCAAAAAACCGCTACCAAAATGGCTTGCCCTGGTAAGTGGAAACATGGACCCAAACCTGCGGTTTGCCCCTCCTGTTTAGTTTTAAGTCACACCCATATGTTGAAACAACAAGGGTTTGGCCATTTTCCCGCTGCCCAACCGGTGCAATCCCGTTTTTTTTGGCGCAGGCCTTCGAGCACAAAGTCGGGCTCATCCTGCACGGGTCCAGGTCTTGCCAAAAAGACCCGGAGAATCAGTCAGAGCAGGCTTGCCGCCCTTTGATTTGGGTGACCCCCGTGTTTGGGTTAGAAAGGCTTAGTTTGGCTGGATCGTTTCCGGTGTGGTGGGGTCAAACCTACGGTTAAGCTGTCCTGAGTCTCCCTAAAATGGCCAAGGGAGCGTTTTGGGCTGCTCAATTGTCACAGTCAAACGGGAGTGAAGAAAACAAGGGATTAACATGGTCGTCCTGCGCGTCTCTTCTGGGCACTGCTCATATAAACAACTTCATGTTGCCACATGTTTGGATCGATCTGACTAGCCTTCCTTTTTGCAAGCGGCAGTTGCCTTGGAGACGGAAGCATTGGAAGCGTGGGCGTGAGGCATTGGAGATATGCCTAAAGCTGGGGGCATTTTTTTGGAAATTGGTGCCACCAGGCACTTCTGAACTCGCGAATCGCCAGAGCATCATGACTTGTTGCCCCAAGAGGACATGGGGAAATGAGTGAGTCCGTTGGTTTGTGCGGGACATTCGATGCCCCGTGCTTCCCTCAACAGCCATAGGCTGGTGGAAATCCCTCGCGGAAAAGGACGGCATTTTTCACATGGAACCCCAAAGGCTGGTCAAAGCTTTCGCAAAACCACTCCGAACAGGCTGAGCTTTCGAGTTCCTTCCGACCTGCAGACGTTCCGAGCGTCTTCCTGGCTCGGTTGTCTAGGTCCAGAGAGGCTAGAATAAGGGTACCCCCTTTTTCTGTCTATCTTAGGGGAAGCCTCCCTAGGGCACCGGGGGACCTTGCCCAGCCAGGATGCCACCTGGGCTCGTGCCCAGACTTCCCGAGCCTCCTGGACGTCCGGCTCCCGGGGCTCAGCGAACCTGCGCGCACGAGGCCGCAGCCTCGCTGGCTTGTGGCCTTTGGACGAGGAAAAGAAATTGGGAACCCCACGGGGGGTGATGTTCCTTGGGTTGACGTAAGCTGCTAATGCGAAGCTTCACCTCAACAGTTCATGGAGGAACCCACAAGAATCGAGTGCCATCTAGACTTGTGGGCCAAGTTGTTTGGGACCTGTGAGGTTTCAAAGGGAAGCCAACACCTGGAGTCCAACATTATGTCACGAAAAAAAATCAAGGGTGACCCCGAAACGGCACCCCGGGGTCTCGGAGACTCCCTTTAGCAAACAAACAGTTTTGAGGCTCCCCTAGTTGCTCTGGCCATACCCGTTCTGTTCAGCGATCCTTCTCTGCAACAAATAACTGCCAAACTCCTGGGGAAAGAAATGGTTTCCGAACAGAAGGATTGGTAAAGAGAATGGGGGACCAACCACGT